AGCCCGATGCGGGACTCGATCCCGGGACTCCAGGATCATGACCTGAGCCGAAGGCAGTCGCTTAACCAACTGAGCCACCCAGGCGCCCTCTTATGAATAATTTTAAAAGAAATCCCATTTGTTTGTTTTTAAAGATAGGAAGCTTTCCCCTCACCAGACACTTTTGGAAGTTCAGGAAAATTTTGAGCTGTATGCGTATGCAGTTTTTCTGGTTCTTTTGTTTCTAGCTTAGATTGGCAGGAACCCAAACAAATTATGTTGGGGTCTTAACAATCAAGAAACTAAACGTGCAACTAAGAAAATAACTTCGTGCAAGCAAGCCAAACCCTAAAAACTGTTCATTGCCTGCAATTTTGAAGATTGCACTAGTCTGTCTCCTCTAGTCATGCACATAAAGGAATGTTGGCCAGGCCTGGAGACCGGTTAGGTTTTGTTCAGTCTGCAAAAGTGATACTCGCTGGTAGCTTCAGAGCACAGTTAGCTCCACACTCCAACCTTGTTTTGATGTTCCTTTCCTAGCTGCCTTGTCTCAGCTCCTATGACAGCTACTGCAGCAATCAAGTCGCCGCCAAAGCTCTGCTGGACCACAAAAAACAAGACCACCGAGTCCAGGATTTCCTACAGCGATGTTTAGAATCCCCCTTTAGCCGCAAGCTAGATCTCTGGAATTTTCTTGATATTCCAAGGAGCCGTCTAGTGAAATACCCTCTGCTTCTTCGAGAAATCTTGAGGCACACACCAAATGATAATCCAGATCAGCAACACCTGGAAGAAGCTGTAAGTTCATCTGCTTCTTTCTGTCTTTACCTTGTTTTCTCCGTTGTGTCTAGATTGGGTGCGTGGGTGAATCATGGGTGTCTGGGTACACGGGACCCAGGGGTCTTGGCTTCTAGGCTTGGTGCTGCCATCAGTCATGTTTTGATTTTGAAAGTGACTTCTCTCTCTGCCTCACTCTCCCAACCTATAAAATGCAGTGTTTATATGAAATACACCCAAAGGTCGCTTTGATTTCTAAAAGTTCTTGATTTTGTATAGGTGACTCTGTAATCTGTAATTACAATTCATAATAAACTATAATCTGTTACAACAGTTGCGAGGGTTAAGATCTCTGGAGATTTTAAATTGAATATCTTTGTTTAGTTAGCAAATCGGAGTTGCCTCTTACCTTAGCCCCTGAGCCCATTTTTGAAGTCGACACCCATTTCAGATCCAGCTCTCTTTGGCCTCTGGCTGCAGTGAGGGACCGACCTAGTCAAACCTCCTGCTCACCAGAAAATGTTCATTAAGTATGGAGAGAGAGAGAGATTCTTCCCTAGCAGCAGTAGAAGACCAGGAAAATGGATCCATCTCATGAGAATATTGTGAACAGTGAGTGTTCTGTCTAGAGAGCTTGGTTCTGATTGGGGTGCTCTGCGGGACAGGGCAGAGGCGATAGCAGGCCAGGAGGAGCCAGTGGCCTGAGCAAAGCTTTAGAGGAATGACAGGACAAAGAAATGCCTGGGGACTACCGTGGATCAGTCTGCCCACAGTTGAGGATACTCTGAGGAAGCTGCAGGAGAGAAGGCAGAAGATGGGAGTTCAGATCTGGTTCTAGAGGATTTTAAATAGATGTTTTTCCTTTGTTTGTTTGTTGTTTTCTAATTAGCTGGGATTCAGGGTTCAAATCCCAGCTCCATTGCTGACAAGCTGTGGAAGCTTGGACATGTTAGTCTCCTTGTCTGTAGGATAGGGGACAGCGGAGGAAGGAGGTAGGGACAGGGAGGCAAGCTGAGAGGCTGCTGCAGTGGTCCAGGCATGCAGTCATGGAAACCTGCTGAGGGAGGAGCCATGGGGATGGAGGCTTAGAGACCAATTCAAAGGGCTCGTTCCCTGACTGCATCTGGAACAGAAAGAGGATATGCATAAGTGACTTGAAAATCAGAAGCCATGAAACCTATGAGCAAACCGTCTATCTCCTCCCAGAGAGGCGTTTAATAATAATTAGTAGTAATCACAACAATAATAATTCTAGCAATACCTGCTGACATTTCTTGAGTACCTAGTAAATCAGCTTTATGTAATCACTTTATAAGTTATATATCTCATTTAATCCTTATAATAATCTATGAGATAGCTGTCCTTGTTAGGGTTGGATAGCTGTCCATATTCCAGAAGAGGCTTGGAGGGCTTAAATAACTTGCCTGGGTCCGGAGCCAGCACGTGATGAGGTTGATGTCAAATCTCTCAGTGCGGACTGCAAATAACAGTATTTGTTATTTGCCTGTTCCACTATTTTATGATCCTGTACCGTGGAGCTGAAAGCCTGGATGCTTCCCTGAGCCCCCATTGCCTGTAGAATTACAGAAAGCTGTCCGGCCCCCAGGCTTTGTGGAGAGGCCTCATGGCTGCAGAGCTGGGCCAGGTGCCTCCTTGTAGGGATAGAGAAGATAGAGGAAAGATGCTCTTGACTGATTGCAAACACACACAGACCAGGTCCCCAGTCCAGTGTGGATAAAGGACACAGGCACGGGGGAGGAGGCCCATCCCACCTCATCATGTCTGTTTTTCACTACTGGGAAGCATGCAGTAGAGTTGCCCCCTGTCCATATTTCATCCCAGCAAGTGTGTGGTCTGCAGGAATGAATACAACAGGGAGCTCGAGCTAGTCTAAATAATTACTTTTTTGAAGCACGTGAGCCTGCTCTGAGTTTTACTGTTAAGATTTCTTCTTTTTAATATGCGGCATGGTCAACTAATCTTCGACAAAGCAGGAAAGAATGTGCAATGGAACAAAGACAGTCTCTTCAACAAATGGTGTTGGGAAAATTGGATAGCCACATGCAGAAGAATGAAACTGGACCATTTCCTTACACCACACACA